TCGAGAAACGACCGATACAGAGAAAAATTCAACCTTTGAAAACTTAGTTGAAAACTTCTAACAGGCCTGGAAAATCTATCTCTACGTCTTTTTTTTTGGTTCTGAAAGATCTGGTAATTCTCGACCGATTTGTTTGGAATAACAGTTTCATGATTTTACCCGCTTTCGTACATTGAGTGCAAACCATAGATATGTCTGTAAATGTGTGGCCACCAGATGTTTTCCGCGCAGAAATTCTTTCCAAATCGTCTTGAATGATTTTCGTGTAAAATCCTAATCATCGCGTTTCTCAAATCAGAATAGGTTACTAATTTTCCATCCATATATAATAAGCCTATAAGTTCAAGATAGTCTTTTTGAGCTTGCCATTTTTAAAATCTAATATCGCTTGGAGCGACTTGACTAAAGGAAATGAAAAGTCGGTCTGCTTCAATAAGTAAACTTAGATTTTCGTACTAAATAACGAAGTTATGTCAAGTGGTTAGCTAGGTCTTTTTAGGGATTTAAAATAATTTTTGACTAAAGCTAATTTGCATTAGGTTTAATTTTTCCTTTTAAGGGAAACAAAAAACCTGATTTAGAAAACTTTTTTTACAGTTTTGCTATTGGAAATAATTACAGAGTTTATACACGTAACATCAGGAGTAAGATTAATAAACTTTAACTTATAGATTAAAAAAAACGGAAACCTTCATTAGAAATTGAAATTATTGGGAGATCGGTGTGCAAAAAATTAAAACAAACTCATGAGATGAGCAGAATTCTGATTGACTTCGTGTAAAAATGCAAACTTGAAGCGAGAATTAGAAATTGAGGCAATTACTTCATTGAGTACTAATGCAAATTTGGATAATTCCAGGTTAAACGCAAACACCTTAGGCTGTAGCTCTAAAGTCAATCCGACAGATTTAAGGCTTGATTAAATTTTTGACATGTTTGCTACCACAAACTTTTTCATAATTGGAAATTGGGGGAGCCTTGTCCGACGGACGTTGTAAAGCCAAAACCGTAAAGCCCATATCTTTGCACTCTTGGTGTTTGAAAGAGAAATTGAACGGTTATAGTCTAACTGCTCAACATATGAGATTACTATTGTATGTTTTGTTACAGTGATTTGTGTTTCAACTGCCCAAAGTATTCCTAGTATTTCTAATGCATCCTTTCGATTCATGGGGCTTTAGAAATTTTTCTCAAAAAGTTGCTTTACTCAGACTCAAAGTACGGTGTGTGAGGCGTCTGATTTTACTCTAGTTTGAATTTTACGTCGAAGAGCGCAAGTTCAGTTGAACTTACGATCTCTTCTATGATTTCTTTGAAGGCAATTGTGTGATCTTTGTTCCATTAGAATTTCGACTTTTTCTTCAATAATGGTCTCAAAGGGCTACCCAGTGTTGCAAAGTTGAAAACAAAATTCATGTTTTGAATAGTGGAGCCAAAAAATGAACGTAAGTCATTCATTTTTTTGGAATGGGAAAATTTTTGATTGCAAAAAAATTTGTCAATTAGTTGAGTGACTCCAATGTCGATAACTTTAAAACCGAGCCTTTCTGATTCTTTTTGAAAAATTTCATAATTTAGCTCTTTGTTGGCAAATTTTTAACTATGTAAGGTCGCTAAAATTTATTAACAATGTACTTTTGTGCAGAAAACTCTCCTTTGGATGCAATTAAAATATCGTTCAAGTAACAATTTGTGTAAGGAACATTTCCAGTTGTTGATTCCATGACTCTTTGAAATTCATTGGGCATATTTCCCAGTCCGTAAAAAAACATGTGAAATTGATAGTTGCCCTTCATATTGCCATCAACAAAAATAAAATTGCATTGTACGCTTGTAAAATTGTCGGCTAATTGGTTATAAGCCTTCGTTAAATTGAGTTTTGTAAACCAAACATCTCCGGTGGACTTTTCACAAAGTGTTGCTGCGATGTTATCTACAAACTTGTAAATATTGGGCATTTGGTATTTGCTCTCGAAAGTTTGTTTGTTTTTTAATTTCGAATCTAGTTTAATTGATTTGTCTTTCTCGCAAGTTATGACAATATGGCTGATGAGTCAATCTTTATCGCAATTATCAAGTTTTGTGATGTTTCCATCGGAGTTTAATCTAAGACATTTGTCTTCAACTGGGCCTATTACGAATGCTAGCGCTAGAAGTTCCCAAAGTTTTGTAAACGAAAGTTGTAGAAGCTTGACTTTCGTGAGTTTTTCACTGAAATTTTTTCTCTTTTGTTCCTAGGGTCAAATGTATTTAAAATTTTAGTTTATGTCGGCCTCTTTTGGTCGCATTTTGTTGACTTTCCTGAGTTCTGCTTTTTGAGAGGCTGTTTTTTTTTTGTCATTGTAAGTCTTTGTTCCGCCAATTTTTGTTTTTAAATCTGGCGTTTTTTTGTCCTTCGGTGTTGTTGCCGTCTGGGGCATTTTCTAGGATAAACGGAGTAAAATGATTTCTTTCGGATTTAGTAAATGTTTAATATTTATATTTTCTGTACTTATTAGTGCTAATGGAATTAGATCTCTTCTTTTTTCATACGGAATTTGGTGGTTGATTGAATGGCTTTGCCAGAATTGTAGATGCCCTCTGGCACTCGCTTCGTTCATGCTTGACACCACAAAAAAAGATCTAAGGCTACTTCTAAATTACTCAATGTTTGATGTGCAAGGTTTAAATAAATTGAATCGTATTATGCACATAATAAAATCTCTTATATTCATCAAAGTTGGGTAGCAATTGCATAACGACGGTGATAAATGATTCATATATTGCTTGCATGGAATGATAATAGTTTTGCGCGACAAAAGAGATGGAATTTGTGTGCTTGGGTTGTTTTTACTTCCAATGAATTTTCAAATTTTGATATAAGGATTGTCATTATGGCCAATTTGCGACGATTAGCGCGTGATACTCTGCGTGCTACTAGCACGTTTGCAGATAATTTATCTGTTTGAAAAACTGTTCGAAATTGAATGTTTGTTTATTTGTTCTATTCGGTAGTTTGATATATGCAAAACATGTCAATTTGCATTTTACACATCTTAGGGGCTAATTTGAAAGAAACTTTGAAAAATAATCAAACAAAATTGAAAAATCTGGGAAATAGGAACTTTTTAACAATCTCACCCTATGAATTAACTAGATCCAGTTAGTCAATATTCGATCTTTCAGAGAGCAACAAAGTAAGAATTCCCATTAAAAAGCTCCTAACTTTATTTATTGATAGAGAAAGAAGTTTTTCATAGATATTTTTGTAGATATTTTTTTAGGTGGGAGATATTTTTAAGTAGAACCAGAAAGCATTACAAAAACAAAAATACCAAAACAAGTAGCGCACACAACCGATTATGTGCATCCGAATATCATTGGATAGACAATCAAGAAAAAAAACACTACTTGTAAAAGTCCACGATTGATTTTCAAAGAATTGGACTGCCTGTTTTTTTGCGAAAATTTAATTTGGCTAAAGCCAACAAACCTGCTTGAAGTCGCTAAAGTTTTTTCAAAGTATGTTAAACAAAGAGCTAGAGGACAGGATTATGTTCAACAAAGAACAAAAACAGGATTATTTATGTACAAAGATAAAAATTCATCACTCGTAGGCCAACTATCAAAGAACTAGCGAGAGAAAAACTGAATACACAACAACATAAAATAACAACCTGAAAAGAAAACAAAATCTGAGAAATTATTTTTAAAGAAAACAAATCATAAGAGCATGCAAAATTACCACCTATTTATCTAGACGTTTGAAAAATAAGAAAGCGTAGTCCCGGATACACAAAAACTTATGTTTTTCATTTTCTCAGGGTACTTGTTTTTCAAAAACGCTCAATACGTCTAACTGTTTTGTATAGCAAGTTTGATCATGCCTTGATCAATGATTGATTAGCTACAAATTCAAAAATAATCACGTTTTAAAGTCTTCGCCGAAATTTAAAATATTGATACTTTCACAATCATTTGTTTGAAACGAAACTAAAACAAGCCACGCCGTTTCCATTGCCTTGTAATTGCGAGACAGTCATAGCTGTGGTGACTCTACTTTTGAGTAACCAAAGTATTTGCCACTGGTGTTCCACAAAAACACAGCCACAAATTTTAAGAAATCAAAATTTAAAAAAGAAAAATGCTAGTCATACAGTTGCCATATAATAAAAATCGCTAATCATAAACCTTTCGTGCAACTTTCCATTATTATGCCATTATTATGCCATTATTATGCAACTTTCCATTATTATGAACATGTTATGCCTAGCGTTTTTCCAAATACGAAAATTGTATGACTAGCATTTTGGTCAGTCCGGGATTGTGGCTGAAAGCGTGAAAATACAATGCAAGGTATGCATACCAAATGTGGTCACTAGTTTGTTGACCATGAAAAAATTGATTCCATTATAACAGCGTAAAATTAGTTTCCAAAACTGGAATTGATATGTGGAGGGTAATGGAAAAGAGCTCAATTTTGTTTATAAAAAATTGGTTCTTAGTTTTTGAGGAGATTCAGGCTGTTTTTTCCTTTTCCCCACTTGCAAAATTTTTAATTCAAAATTACTGTTCACATTGTCCGATTGTCGTGAATTATGCTATGCAGACTGATTAGGCCATGGCAAACATGTTTAAACTTCTTAATCAATCTTGTAAGACTACTCGTAAACGATAAAAATGATGCTCGTGTGAAGTTTTTTTTTGTGGGGGCGGGGGGGGGGGGGGGGGTATTATAACAAGTCATGATACCTCTATGTATTAGTCACAGCTATTGGGGGAGTGCAAAAGACGACAGAAGTTAATTTATTTATAGACCAAAGTTACCACAAAAAATCTCAGTAGTTACATGTTTTTTTTAATACAAATATACTTCGAGCCATAAGAAATTAATTTTTGTAGTTTCAATATCTCTTCGTATTAACATGAATGGTAAGCTAACACGTGCCATAATACTTCGTTCAAAAAGTAATGTGAGAGTTTCTTCATTGATTTGAGAAAAAACTTCGCGTTTCAGTTTACATTTTTCATCGATAAATTTTTGGTTGATTGTTAAGTCTGAATTTGTACAGCTATTGATTCTCTCGATCATTTTATTGAATTCGTTCACAATATTCATCCCCATTTGATCACAGTTTCACATTTTTTCATTTTAGTTTGAATCGGAAAATCGTTCACTAGTAAATTAATTTTGAAATCTCATGTTATTTTTTGGATTAGTTTTCTATTCAATTTCTAATGAAAACTTATTTTTTTACATCATAAGTCCAAGTCTTGGAATCAAATTAGCAACGGTGAGTTTATGATTGATTGAGGGTTGTGTTAAAATCGAAGTATTTTTTTGAATAATGACGTCAATTTTTTCGTCAAAAACCAAAACACCCGTTTTCCGAAAAACGTCAAATGTACAAAAAAGTAGGGTTATTGTCATCGAATGCTTCTAGCATAAATAGGTTTCCAAGTTCTGTAAACTGAAAAGATAAGATAACTACAAAATTACACGAATTGGATAAAGATGGTTTTGAGCAGACACCTTTTTTGCCAAATCAATTTGTTATTTAGCGCCCAATTTGTCATACATTTGTCATTATTTTAGCGCATCATTTTTCTTAACGTGTACTTCAAATATACTTGTTTAGACGGCCTGACTAATTCGCTTGTCTCTGATCTCCAATTGAACGCCATTTGAAACGAATCAAAATGGCATCTGCGCCGGGAAATCGAAACAACATTCCAGGTAAACTGAAATATGAACTTGGGCGCTATTATAAAAAAAACTAATACAAAAAACAAACTCGCGCTTTTTTGTTTGAAGCTTCTTTAATTGGTTGTAGCTTAATTGTCAAAAGTTTTGACGAATTTTGAAGAAACGCGGAATTTTTATGCGTGGGTGTTTTATTCATTCAGTCAACGTTCGACTTTTTTTAAATCGCTTAATATTATCAAATTTTTTCACACAAACTGAAAAATAATGATGCTATGAGCTGAAATACAAAAAATTTTTTATTTGTGACCATTTCCCACAAAGTCACAATAATTTGAATTTTGGGATAACTTGATGACCATAATTCAAAATGCGATATTTAACGGGCAATAAATTTCGTGCTATTAAAGGTAAGCGGCAAATTCAATCCTTCCACATTAAATTTGCGCTTATTATTTCGTATTACATAGCTTCTGGGGGTATAAAAATAGGAAATTCTTTTTTTTACTATTCAAAACTTTCTTTTTTTGCAAGGTTTTAAAAGATTTCTTTTGAAACCAAAAAAGTGATCGACAAAACAGAGAAGTATGAATAATTGGGGATATAAGAGCAGTCTTGCTTATCTTACCGCTAACTATCGCGATTAAGTTGTTGACCAAAATAAATTTGATTGAAAAATAATTGTCGAGAGAGAAAATCCTTAATTCCTTAATATTCATATTTTTCAACCTATAACCAGTGTTTGTTCAAAAAAATAATAATTTTGAGATTTTTGTAAGAATCATCACCCACACGCTATGTAAAGTACAAGGTGACATATTATGCATGTTATTTTATTATGCAAAATTTTTATGCAAAATTATTTTATTCTTTACTAGCACGCATTATATCGCACTTTAAATGTCCCTATAGTAAAACTCTTGATACTTGCAGCATCTTAGACAAACTAATCATAGTTCATTTTTTTTTTCAATTTTGAGCCCAGAACAAAACTTTTTTCTTGTTTCCTAGCTTTCTCGAAAAATCACAACAAAGTTCCATAAAAGTTGTTTTCATAGCAATTGGCTTGAGAGAAATCTTGTATGAATTTGTTCACTTGTTCACGCTCATATGTTTTTTTGCAATTTACTACCACAAATTTCGTTTTTAAATTTGATTGTCTTAGTATAACTGAAAAAAGCCCAAAACAAAAACAATTTGAAATAGTAAAAAAAACTTTTTCAAAAAAGCTATGTAACAAGAAGTCTTAAATGTTTGTAGAAAAAACTACCCCCATCACGCATGTTCCATATTTTTCGGAATCTTAAATTATAACAACTGTATATTTGTCAGGTTTCTATTAAATTATTTTTTCCGAGTAAGTTCATTTCATTTCATATTGCTTAAACTTTAGAAAAAACTTTTCGATTCTTTATCAGTTTTCGAAATAATCAGTTTTAGCATTAAGTTTTGCGCTTCTTTTGCATTGTCTTTGTTGTCCATTTTAGAGACATTCTTTCTTGCATAATATTTTTAACCTTTTTTTCCAATAAAGTTTTTGAAATTTTGTTAGATATTTCAAAAAGTGTAATGTAATGTAGTTTCGATAGACAAATTACACAGATTTAAATTCAAAAATTAGTTCAAACTGTATTTACTGTTTTTTTTTGGTACTGAAACAAAAAACAACCAGGTGAAATCGAGTAACTAAAAAACAACGATCGAATATAGGGAAAATATAATGGTACTTTCATTAAGTTCGTGAAATCATCAATTGTCGCAAGCAGCATGTGTTATTATTTCAAAAACTGCAACTCGCTGCAATTTGCTATTTGTTTTTTTTATAGCTTTCAAAATGAATTTTTCAAAAATTTTCAACAATTTTGTAGATAATGATTACAATTTTTGTCAGCTTATCTATTTTTGTCAGTTTATTCATTTGGGCGACCACATCATCCATATTCCATCCATGCAATCATTGTGTTCCAATTTACTTAAAAAAGGTTACTACAAAACTTACAACCAATTACACGTAACATACTGCATTCGTACACATCAATACTTATGAAATTCAAACAATGAACACGGTGAAAAAAAAATTTTTTTTGTAGATTTTATAAAAACAAACAAGAAATAATTTGCTTGAAATCCAATCAAAACATCAGTAATTCGCTGAACCAATTGTCGACAATTTTTGTAAGAAAGGAATCGTCCAACTTTTTTGAATGAATAGGCGGAACATAAATAATTGTCTAGTCATGTAGTCATCGCCCAGTGCTCTCCACTATCATTTATTGGAGCTAGATTAGCCATTGCTAAGAGGATATTGTAGACGAGCAACTATATCAGCTAGATACGTTCGAGGTTTTTTGCATCTTTCAAAAACCTGTACAAAAATATTTTAATCCATTTTCGCAATTAGTTTTGAATGATTTACATCTGAAACATAAAAAAAAAATTCAAATTTTTTCTTAGTTTTCTTTGTACCAAAACATTAATAATAGTAATAATTTCTGCCTTTGGTGCATCGAGCTATCAGACGAAAAGTAGAAACTGGGTATAGTCTGAAAGAGCTTAAATATAACTATGATCTTTGTAGCATATTTGAATTTTTGACAAATAAAAGAGCCAATTACAAAATGAGCTAAGGGAATATCCACTTGCGTTATAACCCATTGTATTGTTAAATTAACCTTCCTACAATCGAGAATAAAGAAAATAGTAAATTGCCTACATAAGTCAATATTGTATCAAATTTTTCATTTGAGTTTACCCCTTATTTTGCTTTACGAAGTTCTGTTTTGTGAAAATTTGTATTAAATTTCCCTTCATTGACCAAAGCTTTAAGCTAAGGTGGTTATCACGCATATCCAAATAGAGACTACAATCTGTCTCAGTTTCCAACACAATACTGCTTTTATCTTGAGAAGCACTGCAAATTATTTCTTGATTTTAAGATAAAACAAGTGTTTGCAAAACTGCGAGTTTAGCAAAAACCTCCAAATTTTTTTCTAAAAATCCGTACCAAAAATGAATATTTTAAAATTAGTTCGTTTTCTGTTGTGAAAAATTTCTCAAAAAGAGAGAGACTGTTTTTTGACCTTCTTGAAAAACGAATGTAGTTAAACTACTTCTACGCTCGGATTAAATTTTTGCTTCTTCCAACTGTTTTGTGTCAAAAATTTTTGCAAATGTTTTGAAATGTTTGCGTTTAATAACAACTTCCCAATCTCTGGAGCGTTAAATTGACACAATTATACCGCATTTTTTGCAGCTGTGATCTGTCAAATTTTGTTGAAACGAACTTCAGTTTTCACAAGAGATTGTGCAAAAGCACCAAATGCTTTTTCACGCTATCTTTCTTGTTGAAATAAATTTTTTTTTGAAAATAGAGCAAATTTTTTGTTTTAAATAAAGTTCAAATTAAAAACTTCGAAATTGTTATTGAATAAAAGAATAATAGAATAGCTGGTGTAAGTCTTACTGAGACAAAAAATTTTTTTCTATCTGTAGTATCTTCCAGTTTTATTGGAATAGTTCCTCAAAGATTTTTCAGTCCTAGATTCATATAGGACTTATAACTTTGATACTGCCCCGTAGATATTATCTCTTTTTTTTCTACTTTGCAAACGAAACAAACAATGAAGGAGTTACTCGATCACCGACTACCTTATATTCTATAAAATCACCATACATCATCAAGGGTTGTATTCTTAAAACTTCTTTAGAGTTTTGAGGCTCAGGCAAACAATTTCAACTCATTATAGTTTTGCTGTAAATAATGAACACTAATTGATTCTCAGGCGAAATAACAGCTATTTTTGTGTAGTTTTTTTCTTGTGATACATTTTTCTCTTCCATTTATGTATGCATTTTTTTCAGCAATAACAATTTGATAAAACAAAAGAAACGATATTTTTCAAGTTTGAACTTCCCATTCTCCTTTCGAACATAACCGTTCCGATAGTAAAGGGTAAAAGAAGCAGCTCTTTAATGAAAGATTCCAGCAAGTAAAAAATTTAGGTAAAAAATCAAAAAATGATTTACTCTCAGCACATTTTTTAAAATTCTTTAAAAAAATCTACTTTTTAAAGAGCGTTGACAATGAATGTAGGAAATTTTTTGTAGAGTTTTCCGAAAGTTTCTAAAACTTCATCTGTTATTTGTAATTTTTAGTCTTCTTGGAAAGAAATATCATCATTTTAGTCCTCGAATCTAGAGTTTTCTAAACGCGTTGTCAGAGATGGTTTGTACAGAACTGAGAGAAATTTGATTTTTGTGACATTTGGTGACAAACTGATGTTAGCTCTCTCAGCAAAAGCTGTTTTGGTTTCATTGATTTTTGAGTAAGTTTCATTGTGCTGCACTTTGCAAAAATTTTTGAATCATACTCAAGATTAACTTTCTTTGTCAATCCGCGTTCAAATTTTCGAAGTATCTTACAGGTTCTGTTTCTTTGTCAACCAGAGTTTTTTTGAGGGGAAACCTTTTTGTGAAAATTAAATTGTTTTTGGCATAATTTCATTAACTGAATTTAAAGAAATTAGGAAAAACTAACAACATCAACCAATAAAGGTAAGACTCCCTTGTGTTGACTCGCTAACTTATCTACAAAGGACAGTACCATACTTCGAAATTATTTTATGTAATGTGAGATAACTTGAGGTCTTTTAAAGCGGCTGATTAATGGCTATGTTTTGTAGAAGTTAATTTGGTTTGTAAGCAGTGCTCCACTTTTTTTTCAGATAAACAGCTTGATATTGAAAGAAAAAGGAAAATAAAAATGATAAATTTTTAAAAAGTGGGAAAGATATCGTAAGATTTTTAAAATTTACAATTAGAAAGATAACAGAGTGCATGTTCCATAGGCAAGTGTTTTGATTTTTTTGTAGCAAGAAGTTTTTGCATGAAAAAATAGATAGCTGCTACATCTGCAATCATACTCATTATACTTAAAATTACTCTCTAATGTTCTGGGCGACCGTATTCATCCAAGATTAATGGCTTTGTTTTGATTAATTTTATTGTTTTTTTTGCTCAATATAATTTTTCTC